AAAACAATGAGGAGACTTGTATTATTGTCTCAAAACATGCGAATGGCCACAAACATCAGAGTTATGAACAAATCTCTTCATTAATTATTAATTGATACTTGTTTTCTGATTGTTTATATTTATTAGACTAAATCTCTGATACAAACTACAAATTTAAAAATAAATCTTACAATATAAGTATAAATACTTATCTTAATTATAGTCTCAATATAAACAATTGATATTATAAAATATGACCAAATGGGGGTCATATATAACGTCACAATAAATATAATGGGTTTCCCATAGACCGAAAAATTTGTTAGAAAATCGTAATTTTTGAAAAATTTTCATTTTGGCCAACACTAATGCTCTCTCTCTCTCTCTCTCTCTTTTGGAAACCATTTTTTATTGGATAAATATATTTAAATTAAAATACATATCAATAATATAAAGACATAATCAGTAACAATGCGTTTGACTCGAAGAACAAAACCAATTTTGACACTTTGTTTCAATTCTGTTGAGCTTTTCATTGGTTTTCAATGGAGTTTTTTAGCGCAAAATTTCTGATTAAGTCTTAATACAAGTGTTTCGTTTTGTAAGGAGTTTTCTATTAATTAAGACATTTATATCTATAATAATTTGTCACAAAATTAAATGTTAATCGAAAAAACTATGTTTACGTAGAAAAAAGTTCGTTTACTGTGGAGTTTTGTTTTAAAAAGTCAAGCAATGAATTCAATTTGAATTTATTGATCGCATTTTGAGACTTATTTTATTTAATATATATTTATTGAAAAATGAGAAAAAGAGGAGAACTTGTTTTGGGAAATCATAATTTCGATCCAAAATATAATGAAATGATTTGCCGTTTAAGTTCTGAACACCTTTTTGTCACTTATTATAACTAACTATAAGTTAAATGTTTAATAAATGTTATATTCATTAAAATAATTAATAAATATTTAAAACTCACAACCGTTTAAGTAGTTTTGTTTTTATAAATATTTGTTTTATATATAATATACTTAATAATCATAAAAGCAATGCATTTATTGATTCGATGAACTCATGGTAATTTCAGCCAACAAATTAGCATTTGGTTTAACGATTAGACCGGACTTTATAAAAGCCACAGAATTTTAACACTTCTTTAAATGAATTCATAAAAGCAATGCATTTATTGATTCGATGAACTCATGGTAATTTCAGCCAACAAATTAGCATTTGGTTTAACGATTAGACCGGACTTTATAAAAGCCACAGAATTTTAACACTTCTTTAAATGAAATTTAAAATTAAAACGAAAATACTTTAAACATCTACTCATTTGGATATAAGATTTAATAAATGTTTAATCATATAATCGATCCTTTCTTCTGGAGTATCGTCTTTAATATGGAAATTGGAATTTATCTGAAAATATAATTATATATTTAATTAGTATTACATTATATTTAATTGTTACACATTTTATTATGTATTACATAAACCCATTTAAATAATCCCATTATTTAATATTTAGTTAAACTATTAATAATCTAAAGTAAGTGATATTTAAATCAAAGTTATTATTGAAAGAACAATAACTACTTTATACTGGTTTTTATATGCCTAATAAAAATGTAATATAAATTATGGGTTAACTTGTATTTCTGAATAGTTTAGATAATTTATTTTGCAATATTATATACAATTTATTGTTAACATTTGTATCTATTGTATCGTATGATAAATAGGCGCCAGACTGACGACAATTCTGTCTCTTCCTCTATATCGTCACTCAAATGATATTATATTCTAGAATTCAATTCAAAAATATATTATTTTTATTTAATGTCAATCCTCTTAACGAGAATAAGAGAAGATAATCAGCCAAAAGGCACTGAAACTAAGGCATGTGTCCATTGAATGCAGTCATACATCCATATGTCTTATGCCTTATGCCTAATGCCTAACAAGATATACGATTAGAGATTTCCTCCTAAAACATGTTCTTATTATTTGGTCGACAAAAAAATCATTTCAATCAATAAATGCTACGAAAAAATATATAACTCCTATCTTTTTATAAAATATACAGTATATACAAAAAATTACAGTAAAGTCACCCCTCATTGATCGGTGGACTGACCTATAGATGAAAGAGTTTTGCAGAATTAATAGTCCGCTTATTAGCCGCTATCTAAGCGTCACTCACCCATCCGTGTCTGTCATGGATTTTGATTACATTTCTGTCAATTCAATAAAAACCACATAATTATTACATCACTTCATCGATGTGTATGTGTTTTAATTTCGTTTCAAAGTTCTAGTCGTGTCTCATATGCACTGAATTTTGGTTAATTAAATCATATTCACGAATATCTACAGTATATACAGTATAGACACGCAATGTATTCACAATTTCTTTACTTAATTTAATTTAGACTAAAAACAACAATTCATTGAATGACAAAAACACAGAATTTGTGTTAGAATCGAGAAAATTCAATAAAAATCCTATAAATTAGTGCTTCAGTTCTCGCGTTGTATTGATTGAGAAACTAATTAACTTTCATTCACTTTATTGAACAAATTGAGTGATTCTTCTTATAAATAAAGCTTCAAAACATTGAATTAACACTAATTCTTAGTTCACGACTACTTTTTCTAACATTATCTAAAATCTTTTGCCTTTCAGTCAAATTTGACTAAAAATAAAAATCTTTTATTTAATTACGAATAAGAATAAAAAGTATTTGTATTTAAATATATAAATAGAGACGAGACCTGACTTAAAAGGTATTGTGTTTTATAACAATTGTAATTCTTTAGTTCATTCAAATTTTAAAATATTTTTGTGCAGAATATTCTGTCAATTATTAAAAATAAATGCATAACAACTGAATTTCAATGAATTTTTGTTGAAAACACAATTCTTTAAAAATTCTTTACCATACAGAATTCAAACTCATAACAATACTGGATAAAAATGAATTAATTAAAATATATTGAATTAATTTATCAATAAAGCTATAAATAATTCAAAACTATTTTCTACAATATGTGCTAACAATGAACACAATTATCCCTTATCTGACTTCTCTTATATAGAAGAATCGGATTTACTTTGGATTAATGTCAAGCTTTTAGTGGATTAATGTTAAGGAAAGCGTAAATTTATTAATCAGTTTTGTGTTTGAAAAATTTGTTTAACCTATTTTTCACTCAATTTGATATTTTTAATTTAAAATCTAACTTTAAAACAAATATCTTATACAATATTCATTAAAACAGCAGTAAATAAATTGAAAGTTGTTTATGAATTTTAAATGAAATTGAATTTTTATTTGTTATTTCTTATTATTGGAAAATAATTTGAAAACAGAAAACTTTGAAAATAATAAATTTCTTCGAGAAATAAATGAAATGAAAATAATTTCATACTATTGTCAACGAATAACAAGAATTATCTCTATCTATAAATCAATGTGTAATAAATGTCTAAAAATCTTTGCGCTGTTTTCTCGACAAAGACTATTTGATTTGAACTATTCTTGCGATCAATTTTACAGATATTTTACTTTAAAATGAGTGCAAAAATGTATGAATAAATTAAATTAAAGGGATATTTGTTGTGAGAAACGAAAGTGAAAGTAAAGGCATTGACATGTAGTGAACACAATATACTGTACATGTATTGAGACAATTGGTTTGTTTGAAGCAATACCTGAACGAGGCTTCGGCTAACTTCTTGCTGAATTCCTTGGCGTTGCCTTTTGTGCGTTTAATTCTAGCTTGGCCCTTTACAAAACTGGCACATAATTGCATTATCACCGCTTCCATCGTGTAGGCAGAGGCCCATCCGTGTCGAGTCAGCAGCTCTAAGCCTATCGGATTGGCCATCAAAACAAACAACATCTTTCATTATGGTCTCATTAACTCGTATTACAACTAGTATTACATCGAAAATAACATATTTATACTTTACTATAGAAAATCATTTGTTAAATAAACACAATAAGAGTTATTGTCTTCATTCGTGTATTATATCGCTATAGAAATCGATTGTAATATTAAACAGAATATTAATTATTGTTAATTGAATTTCAATATCATATCTTTACAATGCATTCAATTTATATTCAGTCATTCATTTTAATCAATACGAGTACTAAAGTATTCATATATTTTAACGCATTATCTAATATTGAGATTAAATTTCAAAATAGAAAAATGACACCAAAAGGAAAGATAATATTTCAAACTCAAGAGTGAATATTAAGCGAAAAGTATTTGTTTAAAAAGTTTAATTTTATTTATTTTCAAGAGTAGGTTTGAGCCTAAAAATAGTTCATTTATTATAATCGCGATAATAGTTTTCGTTACAGACTTTGTTTGATATTATATAACTATCTGATGAAAGACATTCAATCGCTCGATGAATATAAACACCTTTCCATTCATTTGGGTTTCACATCCATCTCTTCGGATGGCATTCAAACTATAATTGAATTTATTATAAAACTTATACTCAAAAGGTTTTTCTGTAAACAAACGTTTCTTTTATTTATTATTATATATATTCTATATTTGCTTAAAGAAATATTTTATTCGTTTTCCACTTCATGACACAAATTTATACTCAATTCAAGCATAAAATTAAGGATTGAATTGCATTTACTTCTCGACGCGAATTCAAATAATCACTTCTATTGCACAAAAAAATTGTCAACATTTTTACCGTCTATTATCTAAAAATATGTCAATTATTTTATGTAAAAACTTATAGACAATTGTCACGAATATTTTGGAAAAATTTAGTTTTTTTCCACTGATAAACAATTATTTTATATTTGCCTCAAAAGACACAATAAGATTATAACTTATTAAAGTATTCAATATTTTTAAAAAGAATTTTTTTTGTGTATTGTTTCTAATTTTGAAGCATTTGTTTAAATAACAGTCAAATAGAGAGCATATTATTTGAAGAATCGATTCAATTCATTAATTAAAGCAAACATTTATTCACTAAAGCAATGATATTAATGACAAAGTTATACACAGAACCGGTGCACTAAATTTATTATCTAAGTGAGTGAGTGAGTGAGTGAGTGAGAGAGAGAGAGAGA